GATGTGGATTTCTGCTTCGCTAGGGAGAGCAGCAGTCCTCTCTTGGCTTGTCAGCCGCAGTCAGTTCAACAGAGGAGCTGAGACAGGCCAGGGAGGAGTGGGCTCGGTGAATTAAGCTCTGTTGTGCTTGAGTAAATGCTTGGGATTTGGGTTGTTTTCTTTCCCCAAAGATGCCTCTCCTAGGAATAACAGAAATAAGGAAAACATTTTTTTGTGTGTTTTGTTTTTATTCCTGGTCCCAAACCCTTAAAGACCAAATTAAGTAAAAGAACAGCTCCAAAAGCAACACAGGTCCTATTAACCGTTTGACTGCTAAGGAGCGCTATCGCGCTCTTCTTATTTAAAACAAATTTATGTAAACAATTGGTATTTTTTAATTTTTGTTGTTGCAAAGCAATACAAGTGAGTTTATTTTTTTAAATATATTTTATTGATTTTTTACAGTGAGGAAGGGAGAGAGATAGTTAGAAACATCGATGAGAGAGAGACATCGATCAGCTGCCTCCTGCACATCTCCTACTGGGGATGTGCCCGCAACCCAGGTATATGCCCTTGACCGGAATCGAACCTGGGACCCTTCAGTCCGCAGGCCGACACTCTATCCACTGAGCCAAACCGGTTTCGGCACAAGTGAGTTTATTGTATAAAAAGTGTTTTACATTTTTTCCCATACACGCGCAATTAGTGCCGCAGTTTTGGCATATGTCTGAAAAAATACGTCAGCAGCCAAACGGTTAAAGTGGGTGCAGAATGTATGGGGAGGAGCAGACAGAACTTCAGAACCTAGGAATCCAGCAACGGGACAGATTAATGGGTATTTTAATCCCAGATTTTTTTATTTTTTTTTTTATGATATCACTTTTGTCCTGAGGATAAATAGCCTTCAAAGATGGAGAAGAATGGGGGTGCTCAATAGGAGGCAGCACCAACACACAAAGGGCACTAAAATTTTCATCCCTTTGGGCATGGTAGGCAGAGTAATGGGCCCCATAGATGTCCAGGTCCTAATACCTGGAACCTGTGAGTACGCTGCCCTACATGGCAAAGGGGATTTAAGGCTGCTAATTAGCTGACTTTCAGAGAGAGGTGACCCTGGATTATCCCGTGGGCCCAATGTAAGAACAGGGGTCCTGAAGTGTGAAAGGGGGAGGCACAAGCCAAGGTCAGAGTGACATGCTGTGCGAAGGACCCAGACAGACAGTGGGCACTTTGAAGAAAGATGTAGAAAGAGGGCCCAGAGCCAAGGGTGTCGGTGCCTCTGGAAGTTGGAAAAGGCAAGGAAACTGACTTCCCCCCAGACCTCTAGATAGGAAAGCAGCCCTGCCAATGCTTTGATTTTAGCCTAGTGAGACCCATGTTTAACTTCTGACCACCAGAACTATCTATATATATAAAAGCCTAAGTGACTTAATGACCAGTTGCTATGATGCACACTGACCACCAGGGGGCAGACGCTCAATGCAGGAGCTGCCCCCTGTTGGTCAGTGAGCTCCCACAGCCAACCTCCCACAGCCAACCTCCCACAGCCCCTCCCCGCAGCCAACCAACCTCCTGCGGCACCCATCAGGCCCGATCACTGGCCAGATCGAGGGACCCCACCCATGCACGAATTTGTGCACTGGGCCTCTAGGAACATCATAAAACCATATTGTTTAAGCCACTAAGTTTGTGGTAATTAACAGTAGCAATAATAGAAATCAAATATATTGGTATTTATGAAATGTATCTGAAGTTCCATAAAGGAGTTACCAAGTTCCTTTACAATTCTTAGGGAAAAATAGTAAGACTTGAAAAGATCCAAAGGGCATATTTACGTATTAGAACCGCAAATATTATCGTACCTAATCTTTACAAAAGCCTAATGGAGACACATCATCAGTTCTAATCTGTAAATGGGGATGTTTTAGAAATATATTTTTGTTGATTTCAGAGAGGAAGGGATAGGGGAAGTTAGAAACATCAGTGATGAGAGAGAATCATTGATTGGCTGTCTCCTGCACGCTCCACACCAGGGATCAAGTCACAACCTGGGCATGTGCCCTGACTGGGAATCAAACCATGACTTCCTGGTTCATAGGTCAATGCTTAACCACTGAGCCACACCAGCTGGGAGAATGGGGATTTTTTTTTTTAAGAAAAATAAAGCATATCTTCAACTAATTAAAATTCTTAGTGGCTCCCCATTTCCCTTACATTAAAATCCAAACTCCTTATCTTAGCCAATAAATCTCCACATCAATAATATAAAGGGTAAACAGCTGATCAGCATACCCGGGACTGTTAGAAAAGTAATGCTGGGGACAGACCTTGTAAATCAGAATGTCTGAGGGTTGCACTCAGGAATCTGTGGTTTAACATGTACTCCAGGCAATTCTTATATACACTAAGACATTGGTGAGGCACTATTCCACATGATGTGTGCTTACCTACTTCTCCAAGCAAGTCTGGTACCATTCTCATCCTTGCTTGCAGGGTACCAGTCATACTGTCCTTCTTTCATTTCCTGAACATGACATGTCTGCTCCCATTTTGGGACCATCACAGTATCTGTTCCTTCTGTCTTGTAGACTCTTTCTTTATAGGTTTGCCTGTTAGGTAATGGCATTTGGGTCTTGTAGTCTCACTGATTGTGAACAGAGGAGAGTCCAGAGAAAGAGTGCTAATAGTACTGGCTCCCCAATATTTCGTTATGACCTATAGTTATAATTTGAGAAAATCACAGATCCACCAGTCATAAATGAAAGATATGGATGATGAGAAAATAGATACTGCTGTTAACTGTAGACTTTAGTTTTATTACAAGTTGTAAACACAATTTATTTTTTGTTGTGTGTGTTTTTTCTTGAAGAAATTGATCTTGAAATGTTACATTTGGAAAAGCTTTTAGTGCTAGTAAATATCTTATTCTATCTCATGATCTTGCATGCTCTGTTAATTTAATTAAAAAAAATTTTTTTGAAGAGGGGACTTGATAAGCAGGCATGACTCTCAGGATATACTCTATACATCAGCTAGGGGTATTCTGAACCTATGTTAACTATGAACCCTTTGTAGTTATTCAGGAATTGCTTTTTCAGTTCCTACAGTCTGCCATTTTTACAGTGTGTTCTTTTGCATTTCACAAGACTCTTGGCAGGGTCTTTAAGGTTGACTTTGTTTTTTTTTTGCACAAATTAGTTTCAGTAGATTATTTTTTTATGGTGAAAACATAACATAGTATCAAAGTTTAGCTCTATTTAAAAGTCATTGGTCTACTCAGAGGAACACTTAGCATCTTTAATATTTCACACTAATTCTCTCCTGCAATTAGTAAACCCCACAATTTTGGTAGGGTTATACATAATAAAATGTATATCTCAGTTGTGTAACATCCCAGGGCAAGCATTTCAGTCAGTGGGTGACTTTATCCTATCCCCTAAGGCTTCAGAAACCTCTGCATCCAGCCAGCCAATTGGGGGAGTAGGGAAGGCTCACCGGTTTCTTAAATCCCAGGCTTAGAATTCACATTTTGCTCATGATCCCTTGGGGTTAATTAACCACAAGACCATAATAGGGTGCAAAGGGGATGGGGAACTATTGTCCCAGAGACAAAATCACTCCATGAATAAGGAGTACAAATATTGGTGGGCAACCAACTGTCTCCTTCCACAAAGACGTATGTAAATTATCTTAGTGCCATGTGATCCTGTAGTTGCTAACCACATGTAGCTCAATCACAGCAAATGCATCTCTCCTTCCTGGTTACCAAAAGTGCTGCTCACCAGTATAATGGTCCCCTTAATATATACTCCCATAGCTCTTGAGTTTTCCTCAGTTAGACATTCTCACCATTCATATTATTTGTTCAACTCCAGTAGACTTCTTATGGGTAGGACCATAGTTGCCTTATTCATTGTGTCCCCAGCACCCAACATAGTGCCTCACATAGTGCCGCATCTCGTAGAATCTTAATGAGTTATTTTGAATGAATGAATGAATGAATGAATGAGTGAGTGAACTAAATTTCTATTGCAATATATTATCTCCTAAACTACATCCTATGTTTCAAGCTACCTCTGGTCATTTTTGGATTGGTTGGCAAACTGAATAAGTCAAACAAAAGTTAAGACCCTCTGTCCTTTTTCT